AACGTGCGACGTCAGGAGGAACGCCCACACGGCCACGATGGTCACGAGAGCTGGCGTCGACGGTCCCATCAGCCTCGTCGGGGCGTTTGCTCAGGGTTCAGGAGTGTAGAAGAATGGCCGCAGAGTTGTCTGACGGGGGAAATGGGCGCACGGGGTGAAAGACGCCTGGTGGTAGTGTTCGCCTTGTACAATCACGCTGGCGTGGGAGCCGCCAATTCGCCGGCGTGAACATGTTGGCACCCGCAACAGAGCACGCCCGAGCTGTGTGATAAGCTGCAGATTGCCAGCCAGTGCCCATTATTAGTCGCCAATGGTGGGAGGTTGTGTTGTCTTCATTTAGTTACTACTTTTTCCGCCTGAATAAAGTTAGTTGGAGAGGATGGAGCAACCAGGAGGACGGAGGCAAGAAGAAGAAGAAGGAGAGGAGGAAAAACAGCTGTGCTGCATCAAAGAAAAGCCCATACTTTTGGTGGTGCTGATGCTCAATGGCCTTCTGGTGGATCGCCTCTTTGTTAAGAGTCCCCGTGCACGCTCGCACATGGCCACCCCTCGCTACCCTCGCACCGAGTACAAGGGCCTCACGCCTGATTTCATCACCTCATGCCACACGCATCAGTACCGCGTGTTTGAGAGACCCCACTTCCGCGAGCAGCTCTTGCCCCTGCTCCGAGAGCAGTCCAACGGCTGCCAGGTAGTCATATGGACGGACGAGGAGAAGAGGAACATGGTGCCAGTTTTGGACGAGCTCTTCGGCCATCCCCAGCGGATCATGCTCAAGCTCGGCCGGCGTGACTTGGCCAAGGCAGAAGGGGGACGGCTGCGATTCGACCTGGACAGGCTATGGAGCAAGCCTAAGGCCCTGGAACAGGGCTTTGATGGACGCAACACGCTCTTCATCGCATGCGAGTCCAAGGCCACCATGGTCAAACAGCAGAAGAACGTCATCACCGTGTCTGACTATCTTGCCACCAAGCGACAGAGCGACAACGAGTTGCTCCACTTGACCAGAAAGCTCCAGTCTATCGTGAGTGTTCTGCAAGCCACCCCACACACAGATGTAACGAGCCTGCTTTGTCCTTAGACAAGTTGCTTTAATCAGAGCCAGCAAGCCCCCACCTTGTTCGTGGTTGCTTCAGTGTTCTCTTCCTTTGTCTCTTCCAACTCAAACTCACTACCAACCACCATGTCAGAAGCGCTCAAGAGGGAGCCCCAAGAACCAACCGATCCTAAACGAAGCTCATGAAGGCGGTGTTCGACAAGGCCCAAGAGAAGGGCAAATCGGTGTTCGCTGATTGGTTGAGGAAGTCGCTGTTCTTCGCGGTGGGCCTCTTGTACCTCAACGTGTTCCACAACGCGAAGGTCGAGGAGCACTTGCACCCCAACACGTGGTGCGCCAAGAGGGTGCTCCTGGCGAGGGACGCCGAGCGCCACGCGTGCGACACCGCCAAGGAGGTCCTGGAGAAGGACCAGAACATCCTCTACTCCGCCATTCCCTACTTGGGCGACCTGTGCGAGGCCAACCACAGGTCGGCCCACACGGAGTGGGTGGAGCGGGCCACCACCCCGTCCAACGGCGAAGAGCCGTACAAGCATGCCGAGCTTCCACTCGGCGGAGTGAAGGAGAACCTCCACGCATTCTGCCTGTTCATGGGGTTTGACAGCGAGGCAAACATTAACGCCCTCGACGTCGGAGCTCGGCGTTGGTACGCTCGCTGTTGGCTCCCGGCGTTGGTGCTGGCGCCCGCTTTTGGAGCTGACGACACGCCAACGTGTGCGAGCGGGCGCGCGGCACGATGGCGTCCGCGGCGGCGGCGGGCAGCGAGACCGATGGTAAAGAACGCTGGCGTTTGCGCTAGGCGCTCGCGTTGGTGGGCGTCAGGTTGGTGGTGGTGGTGGTCGCGCCAAAGCCGTGAGTGGACGGCGGCGCTGTGCTGCGCACGTCGGCGGCGGCAGCGGGAGCGTCAGCTTCTGTTGGGGTCGGACGGGAGTGCGGCAGATCTTGCACATGTGCGCTGCTGTGTTGGTGCGCGCACGCGGGTGGCGTCGAAAAAACATGTTGAATGGAGACAAGCGGCGGGGCCTTGGGGGTTTCTCGCTCGGCGTGGTCATTTTTGACGACGTGCGTCAGATGCGATGGTCGGCGACGCGCGGCGCTGGTCGTTGACGAGGACGGCCGCATGCATCGATTTTGACCGCGTCAGTATGATGGTTTTGACCAGTAGCGCCGCGCGTCGCTGAGCACCGCGTTCGGCGCCTCGGTGGAGCGAGCACGGCGCACCTACATCGACTTTGACCGCGCAAGTATGATACTACCGACCACCAGCCACGCGCGTCGCCGGCCACCGCGTTTGGCGCGCCTTGATGAGTCGAGCGCGACTCGTCCAGTTACATCGATTTTGGCCATGCAGGTATGATGGTTCCAACGCGCTGTGCGCCACTGACCATTGCGTTGGACGCGCCTTGGCGAGTAGAATTCGGCGTGCTTGCTTACTTTTGACTTTGACAGAGCCAGTATGATGGTTTTGACTGCTGGCGCAGCGCGCCATCAGCCTGATGGCATTGCGCTGGGTGCCCTTGGCGAAGCGAATTTGACACGGCTGCTTGCGTCAACGCGAGCCTTGGTTTGTGCAGGTGCGGCGCGTTACGGCGCTTGCCATTGACATCGGCAGCCGGCGGCGTGGTGTTGTGCTGCCGCCAAGCTGCGCTGTGTGGTCTTTGCGGTGGCTCAGGGCTGTGTCCCACTGCGCTTGCGCCAGGCCAGACTTGGCTTGATGCAAGCTCGGTTCACGTCATCAACTTGACTTGGTTTGCCACCCAGCACAAACTTGGCTTGACGCATGCAAACTTGGTAGTTGAGTTTGTCAAGCGCGTAACCACGCTTGCGTCAGACCAAGTTTGTGTTGGACCAAGTTGGCGAGGCGAGTTGCATTTGAGTTTGTATTGACTCACAAGTTGGCACTGCCAGTCGAGTTTGCAACGCCCGTTCTCGCGGGGCAAGCTAAGCAGGCGGGACAGCAAGTCAAGTCGAGCGTGCATCATGTTTGTGTCGTACCAAGATACCGCCGAGCGCGCTGCACCAGTAGGCCGTGCCGGGCATGCCGGGCTGAATACGGCGCTGCTGTCAGCCCAAACTCAATCAGCTTTGCCATGTTGCTGAGCCAACACAACTTGCATCGCCGCCGAGCGTGGTGTTGGTTTGACATCCAACGCAGGCGTGGTTGGGTGCAAACGTGGCGAAAGCTCGACTCGACTTGATGTCTTGCTAACTCGTCTTCCCAACACAAGCTTGACACCGTGAGACTGCGCCAATTATGCCGCGATGCGCCAGGCATGCTGGTCCTGGCGCGGCCACGTGAGCTCGCGCTGGGAACGCAGGCAGCTGAGCGGTGACAAGGACGGCAGTGGTGAGGGCATCAATGAGGGCTGGGTGAGAGGCTGCGTGTGGTGCTTGTGTTAGTCCTGTTTATTTTGAAAGGCGTAGCAGAGTGTGTGTGCGTGTGCGTGTGTGCAGAGGTGAATTTCAATTTGCACTGCAGGTCATGCTGCTGCCACCAATGCTGGTGCTAGCAAGGGTGATGATCTTGCTGGTTCATGGTGCTTGTGTCAGCACATGCTGCTAGTGTTGTACTGTTGTCTTCTGACAAAGACAATGACAATGCATGTTGCTGGCTCTTGTATTGGTACTGCTTTGGTGCATGCTGCAGGTGCTGGCATAGCAGATGTTGGGACTGACAATCTGCTGCTGTGAGTTCACAGCTCACCCCAACTCCTACCCTGCAGATTACAGCACCAACATCTGGTACTCCATGCTAACAATTGCCTAGACTCTTCTCATTCTTTCTTCCTCACTTGGCATTGCTGCGCAACACATGATCACCTGAGAGGAAGATGTGGTTTGGGATTTGGTCAACCAGCTGCATTCTGAGAAGAAGCAAGCAGTGGCTCAGCCCAATGGCAGAGCACCAAGCAGAAAGCCAGGACCACCAACATCCTCTACCACTCACCTTCCAGTACCACTGCTCTCACAATGTCAACTTGGTTTGGGTCACTGACATGGTGGACCAAGTCGCAAACTCAGCTGGTCATCCAAAGCACAAACCTTGGCCTGACACAAACTTGGTGCAGTGTACTCTGCTGGCGTACTTGACGCGCACATACGCCACCGCGGCGAGGTCGGCATGCTGGGCGCGACAGACTCTGGCTGTCTCTACGTGGCGTATTTGGCGACTGGCGACGCACACTCAGCCGCCATTGCCACTGCCACGCTCCATACACGTCTGTTGTTGAATGTTCAACTAGCCCATGACATTGTCTCCTTGGGCAAGGTACACAATGTCAAGCACAATGGTGGCCACAATGCCAATGGTGATGAGGGTGGAAAGGGCTCCCGCAATCCAGATGGGTGGGATCCGCAAGGCGAGGAACTTGGGCACAGAGCGGAACCGGAGGTCAGCCTCGATGGCAGCAAGGAGGGCTGGGTCGGCTCCCAGCAGTGGGTCCTCATCGTCGCCGAACTTGTCGTCCGATTGCAGCATTGCAGGATTGAGCACCATGGTAGGTGCTCGTTCCTGAATAGAGTGCACCTCCAGTCGAAGCAGGCTCACGTCGAAGCTGCGCCGTGATCCAGCAGGCTC